ATCTAATTTATTTAAAAAAAATTGATTTAAATCTGAGTTTTGATTACCTTATTGATATCATGCTATTTTGCTTAAAAATAACATTACATTGAAATTAAATGATGAAAAGGAAATGACAAAAAAAAGTTCTAATTAGTGTTTTTCATGTTTGATATCACCTTCATTCCTCCATCACAAGTCCAAAATACCAATATATATATATATATATATATATATATATAAAGCTTGAAATGACACAATGACAGAATGACTCTTGTTTAAAAAAAAAAGAAAAAACGAAAGAAACTCTTTCAGAAAAAAACCCCCTGCTTTCCAAAATCTAAAATGCTTCTGTTTGATATATGGAGTAATATAATTGGATGTTGATTGTAGAACAGCATGTGAGGACAGGCAAAGTGTCACCACACCCTTCACTTACACACCAACAATTGTTCTCTGATTCTGGGAAAGGATAATATCAGCAGGAAGTGGTGGCAAGGGCCTCAGATCAATGTTCTCCTAATAACAGCACAGATCAGGACGAGGCTCTTCCTCAGAGCACTGTTAACTCACACACACAGCACTGCTGGGCAAATGAGAGAGAGATTGGGGGAGTTTATAGACTGTGTGCTGATGCACAGTAAGTTTGGGCCCAAAACTTGCTCCAGGCTGTGAGTTGAGAATAATACCAAGGCAACAAACGGCTGTGTACGTGAATGCCTTTCAATTGCTATGGAAACGCATCTCTATCCTCCCATCTCTGTGGGCAACAGCCACCCTGAGAGAGTTATTGGATTAGCATAAAAGCTTCTTTCGAAATAAAAAGCACTTTTATTGCTCTGATCGTTTTATTTTCTAATGAAGTTATGGCCAGTGGGAAATCTCTGACCCGACCCTGCATGGCCCGCTCATCTACTTTGGCTCTTTCTTTTCATCAAGAAATTCAAGAGTCCTCTCACATAAGACAGCCAAAGTTTAATGAAAGGTTGAGCCACCATATATCTCATCAAAAACACGCTTGAACATTGGTGAGACAGCTTTGGAAGTAGACAGATAGGCAGATTGTAGGGGTGTATCTCTACACGCAAGCGTACCGAAAATCTCTGGTTTATTACACAGGTGTACCGAACAGATACAGCATTGCATGTCTGGAACTCCTAGTTAAAACTCCTTTTTGTATATGTTAATTTTAATGATTCAATATAGATTTTTAAATCCCAAGATCATTCGTTTAGTCTATGCTGTTTCAGTTAATGAGTGAATAAACTTATCTAGACATTCTATAGTGTGCCTCCTGTACAATAATGGCAATAAGCTTTTTTGTTACTTTTGATAAGAAACAAAGAGTATGTTTATACCACAGATGTACTAAAAATTGCAGAATTTTTCTTTATGTTTTTGAAAAGTTTAGTATAGATGACAACATTGACAAAACAGTGTTGACACAGATCTGTGAAAACGACTTAAAACACTGTATTATGCATAGCAGGCCAGTAGTTGGCGATATCTCTTTGTGATATCAGTACTACTACATGTTTGCACATACCTATAGACTGAACATAATATGCATGTCAGCATTTTCGCGTTTTTGTAGTTTACATGGAGACAATAATGGTATAGTTTTCAAAAACATGGACTTAGAAACCCGTTAACGTTAATTTCTCAGTTTTTAGTTGAAATCCTTCAAATTCTGTCAATTTTATCAGGAAATTCAAACAGTTATTGCCGTTTTGGTGCTCTTTGATGTGCTGTGACAGATCACAAGGTCCCTCAGTTCAGTGAGTGAATGTGATCATCTCTTTCTCTTTATTACTAGTTAATGCATGAAATAAACACAAATAAACCTCACAATTTGTTGAGGAAACTACCGTTTAAAAAAAAAAAAAAACTATTTTATGTTTAGTTATTTTCTCCCTGCTTGACTGAAAACACACAGAACCATGACTTAAAAACTGATGTATCAAACCGTCATTTTTGTGTATCGTTACACCCCTAATAGATAGATAAACAGAACGATCAATGGATGGGTGGATGGGTGAATAGATATAAGATTACTGTGATTCAACACTATGAACTGCCACAGTGATGTACTGTAAAATATAGGAGTCTCTCTCACACACACAGTTTTCTGAGGCTGTATCAGGGTGCTCTGAGATACTGAAAGCCGTTCTGTTGTGTCTGAGCTCTGGGGTTCAAACCACATTTTCCTCTAGGTATGCTAAACGCTAAAGAATGCTACACATTTTGTTTCATCGATTCTTTGAAGAGTTAGTACTATTATGTGTTTGTGTGGTCAGAAGTTCCTGTTAGCTGTGGTCTGTGATGATAACTGAAATCCTGCGGCCTGAAACTCCTGTGCAGCAGTGAGGATCACATACACCCCTCTGATGTTGCAAACATGCCAAGAAGTCTCATGTCTCTCATGGAAATCACCTATAGAAGAGACCTGCAGGATGTGCTGTTTTTAGAATAGTTTCTCCCAACAGATTCAGTTTTCTTATATTTGAGTTCACGTTAAAACTAGTATTGGAGCAGTAGGGTGGGAGTTAGTACGCTACATATCTACATTGTGCTAATACAGTTTCGAGTCAGATCTTGTCATGTCCTAATCCTGTTTTCCCTCTTCTGCCCAACATTTCTTGTCATCCTGTGGAATATACATTTGGTGTTTTTGCCGGAAAAGAAGTGGGAGATGAAGTGATATAGGCCCAACTAGGCTGTTGGCTTCGACCAGACATTTTTGACTGGACTGATCCATGTGGGGAACAGAAAAGGTGGACTGAAGCATAATCCAACTTTCACAGTAATTAAATTAAATTAAATTTTTTACTTTTTAAAAATTTATAATTTTATTATTCTAATTAAATTAAGATTTATCATTACAAATTCATTATTACAAAAATAATTGATTCTATAAAATAATAAACGTAATAATCTATAATAAATAATTTTTAATAAATTTTTTGGATGATCAAAAATAATAAAATAATTTACCTATGTAATTTAAAATGACTTAAATTCAAGTCATATCTGAATGTACTGATAAACCAAAAAGTCTGTGTTTGGTTTGACTTGGTGATTATTCAAATTCTACCTGTGGTGGAATCTTTCTCTCATATATATATTTTTAAACCATAAAATTGCAAAAAATAAAACAAAAATCTGTGTGTGTGTGTGTGTGTTTTGGGGATCAGCTGAGACAGCTGTGAGGCTGCCAAAAGTTTTTCTGGCTAAAAAACAAGTTTTGCTCTATACCGTGGGGTAGCATTATACAACAGAGATCTCCAATCAAAGAAATGATGGAATATTAGGATCTTTATAAAGCATCTCTCTTCTCCCCAGACAGTCAGTTCAACCTGTCTGAGAAATATCAGGAAACAATGAGCACTAACGGCATTGATCTACAGTATGTGCTGTCAGCCCTGATCACTCAGAATTATTCAAAACATTCTCTGTTCTCTGATTTATTTATAGCTGAATGGATTAAAATAAAATCAAAAGTTAAGGATTGTTTTTTTGGGCATAGGTTACAGTCTGAGTAATACATTTGTGAATGATGCTCCACTGACAGCATTTTCTGCTTTGGGACTTATCAAAGACTCCCATTGTGTTTGACTCTCACGTTTCAGATAGGCAGCAGGGAGTGTGTGTCTGAGTAGAGAGAGAGAGCGAGAGAGTGAGACACATATCATAGTGTATTTGCTGTCACACGATGATGTTCCAAGCTGGATCAATATCCAATCAGACCTGCATTTCTCACCTACCCAGAATTCCCTCTTGCTGTCGGAGAGCAGCATCCTGAAGATGTAGAGAAACAGACTAGATGAGAACAGTTCTGTGTGTATATGAACAAAATATAAGACCGCTACAAGGACTTGCTGCCAGAGATCAGAAACTATCCCGCTTTATTAAAGAACACTATTTTAGGTTTCTCCTGCTGAGATCTGTTCTCTAAGACTTCATGATTGTTTCCATTTACTAAGGTCCAGTGTTGGGAAGTAACTAACTAAAAGTACCAACAACTTCTTGAGTTGAAAGCCTGATCTTTTACCTCATCAAAAACAGGTCTGTTCACAGTGACCCGTTTCGGTGCATGTCTCTTTAAATGATAATGAGCTGCTTATTCAGCGGCATGTTACCATCAAAAACAAAACTAATCCACTGTGTCTTCAGTGGCTCTGATGTCATGAGAAAATGAAGACTCTTATGTTCACTTTTATATCCAATTACAAAACACCTGCATTGCGTACGAGATTTTGGCTACGTTCACACTGTCACTTTTTGGGATTGACAACTGCATTTACTTACAGGTGTGTCTTGAAATGCCCCGTTCACACAGTAGCTTACAGTAGGGTCTCGAATACTGTCTGTATGAACGTGCAACAGGAGTCAAGCCCATATTCCTTACCAGTAACCATAGCAACAAATGTGACTGAAGTAATATCAAAGTTCATCGCAAGTTCATCCATCAAACCTTCATTAACCGACAGCTTTTAAATTTGGGTGGAGAGTGGAGCATTTGAGTCACGCGGAGAACACAAAACTGACGGAAGCGGCTTCGGTGCACTGGATATAGCCTAAAACTTTCAGATGACACACAGCTCATTTCTACGTCACTGTAAGTTACCGAATCCTCAAATTAAACCATCAGACACGTGTTTGTGCAGCAGAGCGACTCTCTCTCGCACTGTATGACGTGACGGACAACTTATTGTCCAGTCCTGTTTTGTTCACACAGCGCCTGTTTTCCGAGAATTCAGTTGTGAGTCCTGAAAATTTACGGTGTGAGTTTGGTTACAGAATGCGGTTGTCACGCCCATAAATAACCATACTGTGTGTGAACGTAACCGTATTAAGGACTCGAATACAGGACTGACAACCATATTCTGTTGCTGTGTGAACGTGGCCATAGTTGTCGCTACAGCTGCTTGAGCACGGAGAAAATGGAGAACAGCATACAACTGGCTGAGGGTGGAAATATGCTACTACGGGACAGTCCGTCAGCACTCGTGGGCGGGGCCTGAGCAGTATGATGTCATACTGCTCAGAAATTCAAAACGGCTTGATAATGGAGACTGTTTAGGTTTTTTAGGGATTAAAAAAGGAGTGAATGGATTTTCATCATTGTAGGGTGGTTGTGTCCACACATTGCTAAGACACATTTATATGCAAACACTATGTAAAAGCATTATGAATTTTGCATCCAATGTCCCCGTTAACTATATTTTGTAAGTAGCTTGTAGTGCAGCTAACTAGCTTTTCCAAACAGGTTGTATATCTGATACTCTAGATGAATGGACGGACGGACGG